TTTTGGTTTTTCTCCGGTACCGGGAACCGAACTCACGACCTTGCGCTTGCCAGGCAGGCACTTTGCTGCTGAGCTAAATCCCCAGCCCCCTTTTTTTCTTTTTTTTAAAAAATGCTTGTTCTTTACAACATAGTTGATAGTGTAGCTGCAAATAGGATAATTGTTCTCTCTACAGCCACCTGGCATGTGCAGCCAGTTCATTCATTCTGGCTTTGTCTTAGGGCAAAATAAAGAGTGTTACAAAAAGAGTTATTTAATTGTTGCTGGGAGTGTGATAATGAACACTACTGGGTTATTTACTTCTCACTTTCTTCTATATATCCTTCAAAGAAAATCCCACTTTCCTAATTCTTGTCTTTTGTGAGCCTTAGCTCCTTTAACATTCACCAGAGGAGGGTGCCACTGTTTGATTTTGATATAGGTGATAGTTATCTCCTTTCAGAAAGAGGAACCTTCTTCTGAACTCTCTCTAAACTGTATAAATATGTACCAATATATGTATACACACTTGTGTGCACATAAAAACTCTCTCTAGAATGATACAGAAGATAAGTAAGGTGCTTAATTTTATTTCTAGTAATTCACAATGATAAGACGTAAAATACCAGGACCCAGTTATAATTACAGTGCTTTTCACATCCAGAAGGGACCTTGTATATCCTTGGCATATCCATTTCTTTTTTGGTTTTTCGGTTTTTCTCCGGTACTGGGAACCGAACTCACGACCTTGCGCTTGCCAGGCAGGTGCTTTTGCCGCTGAGCTAAATCCCCAGCCCCTCCATTTCATTTTGTATATACGTTTCATACCATTTTTTAAAGATGAGATACGATAATTTGGAGAAGCTGTGACCTTGATAAGTCCGCATGGCTAGTTTTAGATCTTTACTTTGTTGATCTTTATATTAAACCATTGAGCAAGTTAGTTTGAATAATTGCATAGTAGCTAGCACTCTGGAGATACAAGGGTGACTGAGAGACACCTCTTGTCCTCAAAAAGTTTTAATCTCGTGAGAGTATGTGGATCCACTTACCAAAAACTGTGCGCGTGCTGCGTTTGTGGTGTTATGGGAACACAGAGGAGGAGCATTTAAATCACACTGGAGGGTCAGAGGTGTAGGGCAAAACACCAGGAAGACGTCATTTTGTGCAAGACTAAAAGCGTAGGCTTTGTCTTGAGTTTTGGCTTGAAATCTTTGCTTGGCCTTATGCTCGCGGTGACCTTGGGCACCGCTTAGGCAGCTTTACCTGGGAGTTTCTTGTCCAAAACCTAGGGATAATAATGCATGTGAGGTACACCCTCATCAGTTGTATTGTACCCTGCCTAGAGAAATACCTAATGGAGAGAAGGTTGTGAAAGGAGAAAGCTCAGTAACCAAGAATTCTGGGAAAGAAACTGCTTGTGAGAACCACAGCTTTGGTCACTTAGCTATGGGCAGGGATAATCCACTAGGTATTCCTGAACTTTCTGTGTCTGTTCTCACTTTTGGTGAACTTCTGTTTAGTAATTCAGGATCTATTTACATATTGAGGCAATGCGAAAGCAGTATCCTGGCGTCAAGTGCAAGTTATCTTCTGAGTAAAAAGTGATGAATACATTGGTATCCTGATTTGTACTTCAGCCTCTAAATGAGTTGGATCAGCATTGTCAGTTCTTTGGGGCTATTGAACTGAGGATTCTTGGACAGATTTGTATCTCTGGATTTGTTATGCTACGACTAGGTCCTAGATGGCTGTGATTTTATTTTGATGGGTGAGATCATAAAGAGTCTGTTTCCACAGCTCTGTCGGCCAGCTTCTTCACTTGAAGCTCTCGGAGGCTTGGTACATCTTAACCACAGTGGGATGGTTGGGTGGTAGACTGTATATGTGTCTACAGTTATGGCAGTGGTTCTTCTGTTGCATAATATTAAAACAACAAACGGTTAAAAAAAACCCCAGGCTTTATCAATTGATATAGAAAGGATATTTTTAAAATTAAAAAAAGTTTAGCTAGGAAAATATTTGGTTTTATGTTGAGCTATAATTTTTAAAGTACTAGAAGAAATACCACTGCGGCTTTGTGGCAACTTTGCTAATGTTCATGCCTGCTAACTGGCTAGAGTAGATTGTGATGTGCTGCATGTGCTTATGGGCGTTACTGTATTAAAGGTTGTATATATCTGGACAGAGAGCTTGAAAAAAGTTCCACATTTCTTTTGAAAAACAAAACAAAACAAAACAACGCTATACTTCAGGTGCTCGTCAACATTTCCCAGCCTCAGGAGAGAAACTGTTTTTGGAGGGTGGCCTGAAGGACACATGCATGCAGCCTTGGTTAGTAGATCAGTGGTTCTTAACCTTTTTAAAATTATGCTGTCCTTTGAGAATGTTTTAAAACTGTAGACATATCCCTCCGGAAAAAATGGACATGTACATCAAATATTATTGATGATTTAGAAGGCAAGTGATGCTTGAAACTTCTGTCTTTAAGGTTAATTTAGATTAAATAAAATCTGTTTCTGGTGAAGTAAGACTTGCACGGGGCTGTGTACCTGAACCCCTTCCTTGGTACCCCTCCCTTCTTCTCTGTCTTGGGATTTATTTCATTTTTGGCCCTGTCATTTTGCTTGTGAGAGTAGTTATGAAGAAAGCTCTTCCAGAGCTCTCTGGGGAATCACCTGCAAGGGTGTTGTTGAGGACATTGCTACATTATATTGTATCTTCTTTAGAAAGATGAAGACAGAAATAGTACTCTAATACCTTTTTGTTTTTAAGTTAAGGATACTAATCATGTAAGATTGAGTTATCTGTGTTTCTTGGTTGCTACAAGTATTAAGAGCCGAACTTCTGACCTATCTTGAGGAAATGTGTAGATTTTTATACAAGGCACACATTTGGTACATGAACATCCCTTCTAGGACAGCTTCTTGTTCCTACATTCAATTTTCCTTTGTCACTTTTTACTTTTTCTCCTTTAGATAAATAACTTTATCTCGATGTATCCCATGTATTTATGTAAATTTCATTGAATCTTTCAGAGATATGATATAGTTATG